TCAATCTTTAAGGCACGCAGCCCCTCCCACCACAACATTGCTAAAGCAAAGAAGAACTCAGCTAGCATGCTAGCTTTCGTGACATCTTTAGATCAGCTCTTGAAGCTTGTGCCCACTTGAGACTGCGATCTTGCAAAACAAGAGCAAGTTGCAACAATGGTTGTGGTGCCCGAGAAGCAACTTGGACAAACATGGACAACACATGTTCTCCCTCTGTTGCTTAGGGAACAATAGGGTAGCCCTCGCATCTCATCATTTTGTTAGGTCGTGCATTGATGAGCTGCAAAGATCGCAGAATAAACAAACTAGTCGAACCACTGCTGCCCATAGCTTGAGGTATGACTCTTAATGCATCACATTGTTCATGCCCAAGTGCTGTCCATATATCCTAACAAGACCGTGGTCCTTTACCAGTGAACAATCAGTTTGGAGAAGCAATGCCACTACGACGCATTTCAAGCACCCAAATAGCACCTTACCCTTAGATGTAACCCGTGTGGGGAACACTGCACTAAAAACAGCCTACACCAGCATACCACCAAAAATTGTGATGCTCCCCGGGATGCTCCCCATCCTGAAACACACCCCAGGGACCTTTGGGAGATCTATCTCTCACTGTCTCAGATCGGCTTTCTCTCTGCATCCTGACTGCTCATCCATCATAATGACAGCATCTGCTGCCGAAAAGAAATCTCCGCTTCCACCCACGACCAAAATCGTCGACACGCCCAGCTCTTCAAAGAGTGGGCGAACTTTGCACACGAAGGCAGTAATGGGCTCCTTGTCCGGAGAGACCAAGGCCTTCATCTTTTCATCACGAATCCTGAGAGTCTGTCGCAGTTTTTTCATCAAGTACACATCCTACAAGAAGCAAAGAGCTACGCAGCTCGTGGTGGTCCTGAATTTCCTCCCATTTCCTACGTTTGAGGGAAAGAAGGTCTCTTAGATTCACCCTTAGGTAGCAACCAATTCACACACACGTTGTGGAGGGAATCAATTTTTCATCAATTTTTCGATCATGATGGTCATGTATCTTGAATACTATCTTGAACACTATCTTAACCAATTCCAAGCATCATGAAGTTCGTGGCACAGGTGTCTTCATCCACCAGCAATGTGAGAGCACCCACTTCCAGCGCCTCAATGATATTGGCAGCTTGTGAGGTGGAACCCGATGCATCACCCGTGGTGAACTCTGTGGTCGCCTTCCTGAGCCAGGCGAGATCCAAGTCCGTCAAAGGCGAGTGCCTGGTCACCCGTAACGTTTGGGGGCTCGGGGTTCAATGTGGCAATACACCAACGCCTGTGCTGATAGTTTCAGTTTCATGCCGAAACACCAACAAATGAGGGAAGATTCCTTACAGAAAATGCTTCCGCTTTCATATTAACTGCTTCTTCGCTTCCCGAACGGCAGATTGTTGATAAACGGTGAGATATCAGTACACCTCACCGATCGCCCGTCTTCCGCGCGAATCTTCACAGCAGATGGATCACACACGACATGTTCTCGTCCATCGCCTCACCGGGCCGGCACCGGGCCGGGCCTAGTCGAGGTCCACCAATCTTCGCTTCTCAATTAGAACATGTTTATATCAGGACCCTCCTGTCGGGGTGTCCTGGCTGGACTACCCCACACTACCTATGGGGTTCCTTTGGGCACCCCTTAGAGGGTCCTGGTACAGAGTGTTTAACATGTATTTATGCAGTACATGTTTCATGATTTGGGTCGTAGATCTTCGACGCGGGTTGACTGACTTAAATCATCTTAATATCGAGGTGGGGATCATTGTGCTATTTGTTGAGCAGGCATAGAAAAGGAACAAACCCAGGTTGTAAACAGCCGTCCTCACTTCTGCACGAACAAAGTCATAGCCTCCTGCCTGGCACCTTGTTGTAAATGCCCAACTGCAAAGCTTGCAGCAAGGTACCTCAGAACAGCAAAGCTTGCCGGCAACCATGGAGATGTCAAGTTTGGGAGGTCAATTGATTTTGTGGGAGTTTCATTAGGTCTTGGCTTCAAAAGGTACAAGTCAGTAGAATATGAGAGCTTTCCTGCTATCCTCTTGCTCATGGGCATTCCGTATTAGCATTCAGGGATTGACCAATTCAAACAGCGCCGCACAGTACCACATGCTTCTGGCAAACTCTAATGAGGATAGACCCGCTGCAAGCTAATATCAACGGCTCCTGTGCTTCTGGGATGATACTGCCAAGGTGGTCCAGTCCTTCATTGGCTAAACGCACTTTGGCTTAATCCACAGCTGGCCAGCACCTTCCTTATGCCAAAGTGCTTTTTCCATGGAACCCACCGCCGACAATCACGGTGACGCCCTTCTTCATGCCCATGCCCGTCACTTGACCGGCATGCGGCAAGCTGATGGTCACCTCCATAGAGCTGGGGCTTTGGAACGCCACCTGCGCGCGGACCAAGGCGGAAGCAGACCAAGGCGGAGGCGAAGGCAGCTCGGTAGAAAAGAGAGGTCTGGAGTTTGGGGGGTCTTCCATCTTCAGATGTGCTTGATTCTAGCTGGAGTCAATGGCACATCAGAATGCTTGGTTCTTGATCGCCGGTACACCATCAATCTCATAACTGGTGCAAAAAAAGGCCAGTCAAAGTATGTCAAAGTCTTCTCTTGGATTCTGCCAAGTGGCTAAGTTCGGGGAGTCCTTGGTCGTCATTGGCCGGTCATCGACCCCACTCTTTCTGGGAAGCACGGCGCCATTCCCGACAAAGGCAACCAAGCCCAGCTTGGAGAGGGAACTTCTCAAGGCGTCCTCATGAGGGCTTCTCTGACCATTTTTCCGTCTCAACATGTTTTCACGAGACCAGCTCCAGTTCCTACCCCTAACATCTGGACCAGACTGCTGCTGAGTTCGACTGTGCCTGTCCTGATCTTCGACGGCTTCAATATGCTCTTTCAGCCCAGCTGAATCCAATGCACTCGCAAAAAGCGAACCTGAGCAGGTTCACAGCAACCCGTTTGCATGAAACAAAAGGCGCTTGTCACCAAGCTGCAGCGTTATCAGCGGCTCAACATGTTCAAGAACAGGTGGCCCGAGAAGACAAGGGGCATCCAAACAATCATGGACCAGAAACATCATCATCAAATTTAACCGGGAAGCTTTTGATGATCTGCGCTCTTAAAATCGCTTCACTTAAACCCCCCCTTATCACACATCTATCAAACCCCCTGCCACCCGGTCGTTTTTCATCCACTCCGACCCCCCTCCTCCGACCCCCTCCTCCGACCCCGTCCCCTCCGCCTTCCACCGCCTCGCACAGACCTCCGACGATCTCCGCGGCGCGGTAGCCCTCGATGGATCGGCCCCGCGCTGGCAAGGACAAGGTGAGCCGCGCCTCCGGTCGACGGTGCAAGGCGGACGGTGAGAGCGGTGAGAGCGCCAGTGAGAGGTGTGCGCGGCTTCGAGACGACACAGTGCGGTGGACGGCAGAGCGGTGTGCGCGGTGAGACGAGGGGATGCGAAACAAGTAGTAGGTGTGACGTTGGGTTGCTGGCTGATGCTGTTGGAAGGTTTCTCTTTGGAGAAAAGCTGCAGCGCCGGAGTGTGCTCAGCTCATTATTCTTTTCCCTATGGTCAGACCATTTGTGAAGCCATGTGGCACGGGTTTCATGACCGATCGTTAGGGGGTCACGACATGGAATGGGAATAGGACAATGGAAGAAGGCCCAGGAACAGCAAAGGACACAACGTGACGGCCTCCTCCATCAGTCAAAATAAATACAGATCTATAAATGATACTTCAAGAACCCTAAAGTTTACGCCTCTTACTCTGTTCCAACATGACACTTGCGGTCTACAGCGGATCGGATTGACACGTCCATTTTGCCTGGCAGGTACAGCGCGGTCAGATTTCCCATTTAAATTTGTAATACTTATAAGGCTTTCAGGTGTGGAAATCTGACCGCAACTTAGGTGTCGACATGTTGCACGTAGGATTCTAAGGGGAAAGGGTTTGTCCCATTTTAGAAGTCAAGAAGCGCAACTTTCGGCACCCCAGTGTATGGATGGATCTAGAACCGTGTCTTTTGATACTTTTGGTGCCTGGCTACCATGAGTGTTTTGGGTGTTACCCGAAAAGAAAAGGCAAACCGGCACAAACACAGCCTTTTGGTGTACGCAGAATCCGTGGTGCGAAAGAACACCGACCCGTCGAGCCTCAATGAAGTTTGAGGTTGCCACCACGCTGCTCCTTTCTAGCACGTATTGCCCTGGGGTGTCCTGAGCACAAACCAACCTCTATCAACCACTCAAAAGAATCAATGCTGACTTGTGTTCGGGCCTCTTCCCCGCACAGTGGCATGACCTCTGATTTACGGGAGGTTATGCCTGAAGGCCAAGCAACGGCAAACACACAAAAACAGCAACACACACACACA